TAAATAGGGATCATCCCCCATTGTTTTTGACAGTCTTGGAATGGAATAGAAAAGAACGTTTGTTCGAAACCGTGTGTTGAGAGTCGTGAGATTCGATCATACAAATCGAATTGGTGAGGCTAAGACCCAAGCCAATTCAACGATTTAGAGAGGCTAAGACCCGATCTATTTCGCGAGTGAAACGAGGCTAATAACCAAGTGAACTCAAGTATCGTAAGAGAGTTAGGCTAATAACCAAGTCGAGGACACGAACATCCGATCCTTCATCACGCTGTGCGGGCGCTGGCGCGCGCTGGGGCGCTGTGCGGGCGCTGGCGTGCGCTGGCAGCAGTGCACAAGGGCCCGGCAGACAGGTAAGGTTTCACATAGGACCGACCGTTTTCAAAATTTACTCGACCGATTTAAATAAAATTTTAACACATTAAAAAAGACTCAGAATGGCACATAATCACAAGGTTTTCAGATCCAACTCTTCAATTTAACACAATCAAACAATTTTTACAAAAAGACGATTGAAATCTGAATTTTCTAGTTCACCGAGCAATCCTTTGAATTTTTCAGTAAAATTTGGACACAACACACATTTCATCAAATTACTGACCCTCACCAAAATTCACAGAAAAATACCAAGTATTCGATTTTTAATGATTTTTCCAAGTTTCAGGTCAGATTTTCAAATCGACAATTAACATAGCTACAGACCTTATTTCAACTTGAAATTGTTACACGACCTATAACATCATCAGAGGGTTATACAGTTCAAATTTCGCAGCAATCGGACGAGTATACGAATTTAGATGATTTTTCGAAGTTTCAGCAACACTACACGATTCAAAAATGCACAACAATTAAATCAATCAATAATTTCGTCTAAGGCCTTCATCATAAGGCCAAAGACTTCAAATGTTCCATAGATCCACAACAATAAACATGATTTAACACAAAAACGAAATCGAATCTCAATAATGAACAAATCACGAGTAAAATGAATTATGTATTAAACTTTAACACAAGATCTCCCAACAAGGCATCAATACATAGCATAAACATACTAAAATAATAAGAATTAATAGCCTTGTACCGTTCTCGGGATAAATCGCACGAGAGAGGGATCGAAAGGCCGAGGGGATCGCGGACGCGCGGGGTATCGGGCCTGCGGGGGCGCTGGCGACTTGCGCGGGC